AATTCTGCATTTTCAGGTCTTGAGTCGACCATACCAGAACAGAGGTCGACGCACTCTGTTTAACTTTTAAATTTATTGAAAATTTTACAGCATGCGTCGACGCATGCAGAGCTATGGTCGACGGCTCGCTGAAAAATTCAGTTTTATTTTTCTGCCTATTCGTTTCAGGTCTCCTCATTAAAGGCAGTTACATGCATCCACTCATATTCCTAGGGAGTTGCATCTATTACCCTCCACTACTCCTTCTTGTCTCTTCCACTCTCCAACAAACCCTAAGTTTCTCTTAAAAAGGGGGAAACTATTTTCTGAACCCACAGCATTCTCCCATTTCAGAATCCTCCCATTTCACATTACCCACCAAAATCTCTACCCATGACTTCATCTTCTCATAGACCCACCAAAAAGAGGTCAAGAGGGTCAACATCTGCCTCAATACCCATTACCCCCGAATCACTTGTTCATCCATCCCTCCGTGAAAACTTCAACAAGGATATTGGTCGAAGAAAGGTTGTACGACAACATGCATTCTACGAACTTGTCGCCGAACGCATGCATCTTGGAGAAATCATGACCTATCTCACATATCACGGTATTGAGAGATTTCTTGAATGCAATGCCAAGTACAGTGAAGACCTGGTACGTATATTCTATACTGGTCTCAATGATAAATTTCATGGTGAAAATTTCCACTCCGTTATCGGACCCACTCAGGTATCTCTAACTTCTGAAATTTGGAACAAATATTTTGATATGACTATGGAGGAAAATGAACCTCCTCTGGCTGAGGTAACTGATTCACGCACAATTGAAGGTTATGAGTTCAAAACTGCACTGAATGGTATGCTTAAGCGACCCTATCCTGCCCACATTGTGAACAGTGCTGCTTTTCCATGATCTGTCACTTCCGGAAAACTCAAAACTTCAGCAAGAATTCTTCAGTGGATTGTGGCGCGCATTCTGCGACCCAAACAGGGTGGATTATCAAGGGTGGAACAGGCTGAAGTTCATCTCATACATATCCTGGGTCACGGTATCAAAATCAACTGGCCATATTACATTGCGAGTCGCATGTATGAATTGCGTGACTCCAAACGAAGTACGACACTTGCCTATGGATCTTTCATCCAAGAGGTCCTCAATTCTGCAAATGTGAACTACCCCTCCTTCGCATACACTTCCATTTCCGCTGACAAAGAATTCAGTCCAAAAGTTTTCTCAATGATGGGATACGTCTGGATTCGCAAATACCAGAAGTACAAATTCTATCGTCGCTCAAATATGCCTCAGTCCGAATCATCAAGTGAAGAGAGTGCAGATGAGTCCGAAGGTGAAGAGAATGAAGCAAGTGCAGATGGTTCAGATGAAAGTGAAGAAGAACAAGAACAGGATACACAGGCGGCTGACACAGTGCAATCAGACCAAGCGGATCATACAAAACGTCAAACATATGAGCCTCCAGACAACTATCAAGAGCCGCCACCAAATTCCAACCTCAATAATGACTGGACTCCTTACACGGGTCAACAAGAAACTGACAATGAGGAAAATAACCAAGGTTGGGGTGAATGGCAATACACTGGGTGGACCACACTTGGGAGATTTTATCAGCCCTATCAACCTAGCTCTGAGGCACCTCCTTCTCCTCAACAGCCATCCAACAACTCCGGCATTCTGGAAATGATGCAGTCCATGCAATTAGACCAACGTAACTTCATGACCACTATGCAAGAACAACAGCAGAATTTTATGAGAAGTCAGGATGAACGGATGGAACAAGTTTGCTCTGAGCTGCAAACTCAAAATGAGCGGATCAGTGGAATCTCCACACAGCTGGATGCTCGCTTTGAGATTCTCGTTCACTCCCATCAAGCTGAAGAACGGGCAATTACTGAGAGTCTCGACTTCCTGAACAACATCACTGAAGAGTTCACTGATTTGGCTCATCCTCAACGCCATCCCCATTTCTATGAGAGGCGTGGCCGTGGTCGTGGACGTGGACGGGGTTATTAGCTTGTGTTCGTCTTACATTTTTCATTTGCTGTTTTGATTGCATGCATCATGGTTTCTTTCGTTGTTTTTGGTTGCAAACTTTGTTATGGTGTTCTGTTTAATTTCTAAATTCTGTCAAGACTTTATGTGTTGCTATTTTATGTTCTATCTTCGTTTCTTATCAATACTATGTATCAGTATTGGTGTATGTTTAATTATTATCTGTTGGATATATTGTATGGCTTTTTCTTGATTTTATGTTAGATATATTGTTAATCCGTCAAGACTTTATAGTTCTCGGTTTCTTTTTGATGTTGTCAAAGGGGGAGAAAAGCGTCAACCACCACAACTGCTTTGACTGAAAAAGAAAGGGGGAGAGCGTACAACTATGTTAAAGACATCGCATGTTGTGTAACAGGTTGTCATCATCAAAAAGGGGGAGAATGTGAGGGCAAGTTGTCTCACAATACAGGCCTCCGAGTTTTCGATGATGACAAAACACAACCTTGGACAAATTAGAAGCATCATGCAATACTTCAACATGCTATACCTCATTTTCATTGTTAAATCATTATACCTTAATATGAGTCATAACTGAATGTGGCAGGATGCACAAAATGAAAAAAGCTGTTATTTTTGCAGGTTTCTAAGCAGTGAGTCGACCATACAGTCGGCGCATGAAGCCTGGCATTTCTCACGGCTCAGCGCATGGAAGCAATGCGTCGACCGTACAGTCGGCGCATGAGTGTTTTGATTTTCCACGGATCAGCGCATGAAGACATGCATCGACCATGCCACTCAGCGCATGGAGCTGAGTATTCCCCACGGGTCAGCGCACGCCGACCCTATGGTCGACCGTTCGCGCGCTGTGCAGTTTTTCTTGCTGCGTTTTAAAATTCTGTTCAGTTGACTGTTTTGGTTATTACTATAAATAGATTTTTGCTAAATTTTAACAACTAACAATTGAAATCTTGAGTAAATTGTCAGGGCAAGAAACGTGAAATAGGTGCAACATATTTCTTCATCTTCATCCTTCAAACAACACACAAATCCTCAAATACACACAATCATTTTTGCTGTGATTGGTGTCTTGTTCAAGGGTGATAAGGTTCGAACGCGTTGATTGAAGATCCGGTTCAGGTGGAAATTGGGGCAGGTGTTTCTTGCAGAAAACCTTGAGGGTTTTACCCATCAAGACTAGAAGGTTTTGAGGGCTTTTGCTACGGAATAGTTCGTTCAACATTCAAGCAGGTGCGAAGGTAATTGATCAACAGAAGGTTCATCAGTTTAGTAGCGAGGGCGTTGAAGTGTTGAAGACTTTCCGGGTTTGATTTGTTGGTGTCTAAGATCAGCCGAGCCGAAGGTTTGAACAACGGAAGGTTATTCATTAAGGTGGCTGGAATCGGAGGTCATTCACAACAAATTGAAGGGCTTGATTCAGCTTGAATCAAGGTGCAAGAAGTGATAGCAAGCATCAACATCATTTGAGATTGTTTGTATCATTGTCTATCAACTCTTGTGTAAACTGTTCATTCCAACAGGTGATATATATTCAATATATCTCAATTCTAATTTTAGAATTGAGGGCAGACGTATCCCGAAGCGAGGATGGCGGGGGAACTGCCTCATCAAATCGTGTGTTCTTCATTTTCTGTCATTTTCAATTCAGCTTATAAAATAAGTGATTCTAGCTTAAGTGATTATTGTCAAACTGTGATACAAATTGAGTAAGGTGTTGAAACTCTGTTTTTAACTACTAAGTACAATAAAATTATTGTACTAGGGCATTTCCAATCTCTTACTCAACATAAATATCCTTTGAGGTATTTGTGCACACAAACTGTTCGACAAAAGTCCTGAACTAAAATTGTCTTATTTTACTTCTAGTTTTTGTGTGTGCTGTTTTTCATTGGAACTAGGTAACCTTGCAAATTGAAGTAAATAATTGATAAGCATAGTTTGTGTTGTGATTCTATTTTTCCGAATTGTCATAAATCCATAGGCTTACGTATATCCGGTTTTCCAATAACCGTTCGTTTTAGACTATATTTTTTCTCGGCCGCTTCCGCACTTAAAACATTTTTAAAACCAATTTTAAATTGGTAGCGCCGACTCAAATTTTAATTGGGGATCTATTCAATCCCCCTTCTAGATCCGTGCCATAGTCTAACAAGTGGTATCACGAGCTCCGGTTATTCGGTGCTTCAGATACAACATTGATAGAATAATGGCTAACGAACCAAAAGGGGCGTATAATAGAGCTCCCGTTTTTAACGGTGAAAATTATAATTATTGAAAAGACTGTATACGGATGCACATAAATTCCATAGATAGAAAAATATCAAATTTTAGCCATCAAAAAACATTACTCCCTCCATTTTTTTATCATATGTCCCATAAAAAGAAAAAAAAATATACTAAATTAAGTTGTAAGTCACTTTATAATATCAATATTTTCAAAATGCACATGCTTGTTTAGCTATGAACATGGTAATTTAAAATTATAACCGTAGTAGAATGTTTGTTTATTTAGTAGTCAACTAAATTAATGCAGCATCCTTTCTTGTATATCTTATGGAATTCCTACAAGTAGTTTGGTGAGTATGTTCTAGATGATTGAATGAAAACAAATACATTTTGATTATAAATAGCAGTAGTTATGTTAGTCCTAAAGAGAGCGATAGATTCATCTATGATCCATGTATATCAGTGATTAGTCAAACCACAATAAACTTTGTCTTCTTTCTTTCACAGTAAACATACAAACAGCAGCCTTTCTAGTTTCTTTACATACGTACTGTGTCTGTCTGCATTATTTGTCCCTTTTTGGACTTGTCTTCTCTTAGCAACAACAACAACATCGTTGAATTGAAAACAACGTTATCTTATTTTCACCACCACTAACGTAACTACCTCCACCAATCTCATTCATTTTGTTTTCACTTTCACATTCACATACATAACATAACACTCTCATCAATCACACCATCATCATCATCATCATCATTATCATGAACATCTTCTTCTTCCTCTTCGCCGCCTTATTAACCACTTTCCTTCATCCTTCTCTCTCCGCCACCGCCACGTGTCCTCTCAACTTCACCCTCCTTACAATCCTCAACGGCGCCGCCTCAACACCACCGTCTTCCTTCACTTTAACTCCATGTCAATTCGTTCACCAAGCCCTCCGCCTCGTCCAATCCGACTACCTCCGCCGCACCGACTTCTTCCTCCCTCCCTTAAACTCCTCCGTTCCATGCTGGAACTCTTTCCAATCCTACATCAACCAGTTCGCTCCGAGTTTCAACATTCGTTCCTCTTGCGGCTTCCAAACTGATTGGATCTCACAAGGCTGCGTCAACGTCACTACAAAACAACAATTTGAATCAATCGTTCCTCAATCCGCAATTCTCAACATGCAATCAAATTGTAACCAGTCAATTGAAGATAATTCTCCTTGTGCTCTTTGTACAACTAGTTTATCTGGTTTGCCTCCTCTTGGTCAATCCATTGGTAATCTATCTGATTGTACTGGTTATCCTTCAATCTACGCTGCTGCTTTTTCAAATCAATTTGGACCGTCGGATCCTGGTACTGCTAAGTGTTTGTTTGCTCTTGATTTCACCTCTGGAGGTTCCTCTGGTAATAAGAAAAAGGTTGTTGTTATTGTTGTTGTTTCAGTTGTTTCTGCTTTGGTTCTTTTGTTGATAATTATAGGGGTTTGGGTTTATTGGAAATTTAATGATAAGGCAATTGGGGATGATAAGGATCATGGTGCTAATATTGGTGAGGTGGGTTCGGTTTCTGGGTTGGAAACAATGAATCATAGTACTACTTTAATTAGATTCAGTGTTGAGGATATTAAGAAGGCGACGAAGAATTTTCATAGAGATAATATAATTGGGAAAGGGGGTTATGGAAATGTGTATAAAGGGCTATTGTCTGATGGAAGTGAAGTTGCTTTCAAGAGGTTTAAGAATTGTTCTGCGGCTGGTGATTCTAGTTTCACTCACGAGGTTCAAGTTATTGCTAGTGTTAGGCATGTGAATCTTGTTGCTTTGAGAGGCTATTGTAGTGCGACGACACGTTTAGAGGGTTATCAGAGGATTATTGTTTGTGATTTGATGAAAAATGGGAGTCTTCATGATCATTTGTTTGGTTCTACTGGGGTGAAACTTACTTGGCCGGCTCGTCAGAAGATTGCTCTTGGAACTGCTAGGGGATTAGCTTATTTGCATTACGGAGCTCAACCTGCTATCATTCATAGGGATATCAAAGCGAATAATATACTTTTGGATGATAAGTTTGAAGCTAAGGTTGCTGATTTTGGACTTGCAAAGTTTAATCCGGAAGGAATGACTCATATGAGTACAAGGGTGGCTGGAACTATGGGATATGTTGCGCCCGAGTATGCTTTGTATGGACAATTAACAGAGAGGAGTGATGTGTTTAGTTTTGGCGTTGTGCTTCTTGAGCTATTGAGTGGACGAAAGGCTCTTCAAACGAGCGATGATGGACAACCTGCTGCTTTGACTGATTGGGCTTGGTCGTTGGTTAGAACGGGAAAGGCGTTGGATGTTATTGAAGATGGGATGCCAGAACAAGGTTCAAATCAAGTTCTTGAGAAGTATGTGTTGATTGCTGTGCTTTGTTCTCATCCACAGTTATATGCTAGGCCAACAATGGATCAGGTTGTTAAAATGATGGAGACTGATGATGAACTAGTTCCATCGATACCTGGACGGCCGATTCCTCTTGTTGCTGCGAGGCTTGATATTGAGAGATCTATAAGCAGTAGTGGCGGCTCCGGTCAGCTATCTAGTCCAACAGGTTATCAATCATTCACTTTAGAGATGGGAAGTGAACGCTATTCTTCTAGTCATTTAAGGGAAGAAAGAAGCTCTGCCTCTAGGATTTTGAGTTCGGATTTGGATGAGTGACGGCATGTTTTGATTGTACATTTAGATTATAGATTGTATGTTTATTGCATATGTATAGTTTCATACCAAATGTACAAATTTTGATTCTTATTTTTTTTGGATTTTACTTGTGGGAGGGAGAGTATGATCAAGTTTTGCTGATTTGAGTATATATCAATGCATTGTATCATTTTAAGAATCTGCAGTTTGGTATTGTCAAGTTAGCGGTTCATCGCGTACACCACGCAAAACCCGTTATATAAAAAACACCGGATGCAACACATCGTGAACACCAATAATAATTTGGAAAAATAAAAGTATATCGGAGTCATGTCTAACATGTTAGCTTGTGTTGTGAATAAATCCAGGCTGCCATCATTTATGATTATTGGGTTGTCATGTTCTTGATAACTTGGCATTTATATTGACTTGATTTTATGTTATTATTTTAGTATTCGTATTATGCAACGGCAACTAATACTAGTGCTATAACCAAGCTGGTTGAGCTAATAATATATCAGACAGATACACAAATTGCTTTAGGTTGAAGTAACAGATAAGACTAATATAAATTGTGACTTTTTATAATCTTAAATTTCACGATATTCTAAATCCTATAATTTGTAGAGAATCTTGTTTTAAGTTAAGGTTTTGGATACTACCGGGCCTTGCTTTGAAATGGAGGGCCCTCACACTATCTCCCTATGTATTGGGTTGTATTTTCTAATGGATTTGGGTTCCAACTTTTATGAGGACAGTGGTACATTCCAACTTCTCCTACCTACACCATCAACTGAGTATCATCACATTTGACATTACTCAAAATACCTATGTGTACTTGTAAAAAATACATTCTACTTGCAAAAATGACCACAAAAAGGCTTAGGTGCTCTGAATATATGAAATTAGTGAATGATTCTCCAATCTATTAGAGTATTAATAGATGACTTTTTGGGACAGATAACAATGAGGAAACAATTTTCTCCTACTTTTTCAACAAGTGTGTGAAAGTAAGAGGAACACTGGTTTTTCCTCCTAAATTGGGGGACGATTTCCTTTTTGACCGGAGGATAAACAACGACCTTCTTCTAGAAACCTCTTCTGCCACATAATGGCAAGATGGTTAGGTGGTAGGCATACATACGGGTCGTGCAACCTAAGCCACGAGCTTCGAGGTTGCATCTGTCTGATTCTCTCAATGGCCTTTCATAACTTCTTTGGGCCACTTAGGCTATAAACTACTGCTCTTTAGGCCCAATAAAATTATCTCAGTTCATAATCTCTCAAGTTGAGGCATGAGAAAGGTGTAGTGATTAAATTAGATATGCAATAATATCTCTGAAGCCTTTGATGGCGAGTCCCTCAAGCTTTGTTTGGTGGAGGGTCCCTTAAGCGTTGTTTGTTGCTTGGGGTGAGCATGTGCAACAACAAATGCCCTGTCATGATGAACTTGTCATGGGAAGGTACATATGTTGTGATTCTTTGATCTTGTTGCATGCGTCTAAGTTGATTCGCAGATGGCCTAACAGTTGGTGCATATGTATGCTAGAGCAATGATGACCTGCGACCTAGGCATTTTCCCTTATAATAATGGGGTTCTGACCATTTTCTCCTCCACGATATCTCCATGCTTCCCATATCTTTCTGAACCGAATTTTTCCTTAAATTCTTCAAGTTTGAATCTATCATCCAACTCTCGTTTTCCCAAGTGCAGATAGTGAATCTCTCCCTTCTCCTTATCCTTTTTTTTCTTTAATAATGCTTATTATTATGGATTTAGATGAAAGTGGTAATGTAGTTGAGCTCTCTACTGACATGGGGCATATATAGATGTGGAGGTATTATATTAAAAATGCTAGGTGGCCCAACAAAACAGTTGATTACAAACTTATCGAAATAAGGATGTTTGGAAGTTATGAAAGTAATTTTGATTCTATTAATGATAGTGACTCCTTTTTCCCATATTCTTTCCTAAGAAAATTCGGACCACTGATGGCATCTAGCTCTTTAAAACACTTGAGAGTTGAAGACTAGGAGACTATCTACACAACATAAGGAAATGAGTTCTTCTACTTACACCCCATCGTTCATGAATTAGGGTTATTGATTCCCTTTACCCTCTTAAAGTATGAGGTGCTTACGACCATGAACGTTGACCCTTCTCAAATATCTCCCAACATGTATCCTTTCATTAGGGCATTCTAGATTATCTATAGTCGCCTGGAGGTCACACCTAATATAGGTGTTTTCTTTTCATGACACTGAGACGAAATCCAAAGTTAGTTGGGTGGCCATGAGTGTCCTGTCGGGGATAGTCCTCTTCACCCCTCACTCAAATAAATTCAAGAATTAGAAGGAAAGGTACATTAGGGTGAGGGGGAAGGACAACTCTTCCATGGTAATTGAAATTATGGTGTACAGATCTCAGATGTCCCAAGAGATGTCGAGACATTGATTTTTGCATAGTTAAACAAAGACATACCATAACAGACCAGAACAAACTGATATGTCAAAAACATAACAGTGTAATGACAGATGTTTCAACATCTGTTAAGACATGTATTTTAAAGCAAGAGACAGAACTGCAATATTCATAATAGAATGATAAATAACGCCAAGATATGATGACTCCGTTTAGTGTACAACAACACCTACATCTGGGGGCAACCAAGCCAAAAATGATTCATTATCAGTAGTATTAATTTAGAGCTAAACAACCTCTGGTTTACAACTCCTCACTTAATCCCTACTCAGTGCAACTTCTACCTAGAAATCACCATCTAGATAAGAGAAACTCATTTCAATTCCTAAATCACCTCTGTGATATCTAATAGTCACAACCTCCGGTGATTGTATCAAATTGTTCAATTAAAAGACATCTCTCTTAATAAAATATTCAGTTAAGACTCTTGACTAACAATAATTTTTTAATTTGCTTAATAACTTCATCCAAAAACAATATATAATTCATTACCTACATGTTTCTGAATATGAAAACTATGTCTACCACAATGTATCAAACCTGATACAAAGGGTGACTTATAATACAAGAAAGCCACATGACTTTCAAAATCCTAAAATATTACTTTACTATACAAAAGTCTTAACAAGGAATTCTTATATACTCTAGGTCTTGGTCTTCCTTTTATAATCTTCAGCAGTCCAGGGACTTTGAAGTCTCTGTCCAATCTTTCCTTGATCCATATTTTGATTGCCCTTAAAATTTGGAACAGATCTACAACAAACCTGCTTAAATGGGTGTGCACTAGCCAACTCAGTTTTGACTGTTTCTTCTTTAATGAGAACCGTCTAAAGACTATGCATGTACCAAGGAAACATGTTTTGCGCACCTTCTTTAAGGCACATTTTCACCGTCCAAGTAACACTGTCCACATAGAGCCACAAGTCTTAAACAATATCCTGACACCCAGTCAGTCCCTATTTACTCTCTCTTGTAACTCATAATCACAATGTCTTTCAAGCATACTCCTTTTAGTCAAAATTAGAAGATCTTAACCAAGATGTCAAGACAGTATGTGTGATATCTCCCATTTATCAACAGAAGCTTTCACGGACCTTATCCCAAACTGAAGAGAAAAATAGATTCTCCCAGACAATATACAATCCTATTTCTCAGGTCTCTTCTAAGAGTCAAGACATAGTTGAAATAATTCAATAGCCTTAACAAATCAAACTCACAAGTAGAACTTACTAAGCTAAAGAATCTATACACCAAAATGTTAAAACATTTAATATGGCAACACAATCTTACATGATTCACATGAACCCCTTCATGCTCAGAAGAGAAAAAAACCAGATCACAAATTATGAACCATAACCAATAAAATCTTGGATTGAGATAAAATAACACCACTGATCATTATCCCCCTGAACACATCCATACATTGTACAAATTCATCTTGAACCTTACATCCATAGATAACCTTGTTCTTTGAGAATACATCCAATCAAACTTGGAATGCTCACATCCCCTAAAGAGACATACACATCCTCTTAACTTCTTGATTAGTCAAGATACCATACATACTTGAAAGAAATCAGACCCTTTCACCATATGAAGAGGGATGCAATTTTAGCCTGCTACCTTCTCAAGATTCAGCCTGATACAATCCTTTCTAGAGATACTTCTAGTAGAACCTACCATCTACACACAGATAATCATAATCCACACACTCCATAATGACTAGATATTTCACTTCTGATCTAACTGGTGAAACTCCACACCATCAACACCAAGTTATCTCTCATGGATACACCACTTTCCTTTCTAAAGAGATATTCAACTAAAATGATGTTAATAAATCATCCTCAATTATAGGACTCATCTCATTTGGTTCTAGAGTCAACATCCATAGGAATAACTATTTGCATGGTAATCCATACGACTCTCTTTGCAATGAACACATGAGGATTCTAATAGATCACAGTAGCAACAACTCATAGACCATCATAGGAAGCAGAATACCACATATAGAAATAAACTCTCACAAGCCTCATGAAGCTTCAACTTAGAAGAACAATGTTCAGACGTCTTGTCTGACATTAAGAGTCATCACCCAACCTTAATCATCCAAAGAGGAGATCCCCTCTAATAGATATCAGTATGACTAACACTACAGATGAAGGTATAGACTGAGCATCATACCATAAGTAGACTTCTTAGCAAGGTTTACTTCGCTTCTGCCCTTCAGTCCCTTATCCTTCAGAAACCCACCTTGCAAGACCACAATAACTCCATATAGAAATCTTGAGCTTTTGTCATTGCATGATTCATAAAGGTTGAGATAGACTTTAACACTAGCCATATAGATAAAGAACACATAAGCCTAAAGAGACTACCCTTTAACAAAAATACAGCTTCAGTGCAAACTTATTGCCTTTAGCATGAGCATTATGATGTTCAACACAATATCAGGATACTTGAAGTACATTAATGACTTGGCTAGCCAATTGATGAACCATACTGATTTTCATCTTTGTTGATACAATATAGAGAATCT